TTGCGCGGTGTGTTTACAGTCATGTCCTACAAGCTTCTAGTCAGAATGTTGACATTTTTAGCGAGGCCTTGAGTGAGGATGACAGACACACAAGTCCCTTCCTTCCACCAGGTGTCCAAACCAGGCATGGCGCTACCGTTCTGTCTAACTGCTTTTGGTCAGAGGTTGGACTCTCCGACACAAAGCAACCAAGATCCACCAAGCGACATAATAGAATTGCGCATCGCATGGTTTTCGAGAAGGGCACTTTTTGGAGTGCGGCTCAGGAGATCAAGTTTGGCCGTGCTGTGCTGTTGAGCACTGTGGATGGCGGAGTGGACTTGGAGGAGAACAATGAAGGGCCTAACGGCAACAGTGCAGTGTGCAAGCGGTATAAATAAATAAACACACACATATATATATATATATATATCTACATACATACATACATACATACATACATACATACATACATACATACATATATACCTATATATATATATGGGCATATTGTGTGTGTGTGCGTGTGTTCGATATGTCAAACGTGTTTAATCCTTTAAGAGTTTTTCAATGTTTCTACCCCTTTCCCTCTTCTGATGTGCGTCGTTTACGGTTTCTTTTTACAACCCGGACCTTGACGCTGCTTGTCAACATACATCGTTGCAAGCTGGTCCACTTCCTCACAGGAATCTATGGTCAAGGTATTCCTAAGATATGTCCGTCCGACCTCTACGTTCCACACCACAGCTGGAAGGTCCCCAACGGCATTTCTCCCATACTCTGTGAGCCCTTCACTTGAAATTTGTCAGAACGCACGCACCTTGTAGTCTTTCTCCTCCACACTAAGCGTCTAGTCTTCATCTCATCTCATTTGCTGACGTTGACACCTAGAGCATTTGATGCTTCCTGCACCCGTTAAGCTTTCGCATTGGTTCACCAATCAAGCAAGATGTGGCCTGATGTTCAGGCATGTAGGCCCAGTGTGGCATTTAAGCCTTTGCATAGCTTTGCCTTGCTGTGTGAGGATCCCAAGAAGACCATCTCTGCAGAAGTGGAGAGCAACTTGGATTTTCAGCTTCGAGGAGCTTGTTCTCCACCGATGCTGAACATGGTTTTGTTGATGGGAGTCGACACATGAGTGCCCATTCATTGGTTCTCTTTTGTGGACCTGCAGAACTTACAAAGTTGATCATGCACGGGGAGAGTGGGTCAGTTCTTATGGGCTCGAAAGAGCAGACATGGCCTCAGATTGAGCAAAGATCAGTTGGAACCTGACAGATCGTACCTTGTGACCAGAATCTCAGTTCAGTTTTTTGAAGTGCCAGAGGTCCAAGATGCTGAGGAGAAACACTACAGTTGACCTTGGTGACAGAATGTTGGCCATACAGTCACACCGTGATCATCTAAGTGCGACACACACACACACACACCGTGCCTGCAGAATTGCAGTACATAATCTCATCATTCACTGGGTCCGGGAGTGATTCAATGCTGGCTCTTTGGTTCATTGAGCGGGTAAGGAGGTGGTTACCCTCATCTACTAGGTGGCTTGCTTGCTTTCCCTGAGGCATTAGAGACGGCACAATGGTTCTGAGCACGCCCTACGAACGCCTCCCCTCCACTGGTTCTGGGAATGATTTGTGCCTTGGCTTCGGACTGCGGAAACTGTACTGGCTGGCAAGGAGGAGGATCATAGTAATAGTCCATGACGAGCAAAGTTTGATTTTTTTAGATGATTCCAGGCTATTGGTGAATGGTTGAAACTGCTGAAATGGTTTGGGTTGATGAATGGCTCAGAGGGGTCCAAATGGTCTTGGAATCGACTCCTGCACAGTGGCACCCCCCAAAAGAGTGAAGCAACGAGGCCAGTGCGGTGGAGTAAGTGAGCAGATGTGGGGCGATGCTGTCCTTGCCACATCCCGTCCGGAGTGTGGAAGTGGAAGGCCCACCCTCTCTTCGAAGCCACATCAATCTATTTGGCTGGAGCTATAGGCCTAACTGTTAACTTCTCTTATCAGTATCAGATACAAACCTCACACAAACCTCACCCATTCGCCCTACAGAATGAACAGGTACCGTGTGGACTTGGGCCCCAATATTGTGGCCAACAAGCGCATTGACCGTATGTTGGACGAGCTTCAGCGATGTTTGGGAGTTGATCAGGCGGCCAATCCCAGGGAGCCTTGGCTGAGAGGTGAGACCAACCGCCCAAGCAGACACCCTATAGCGTGGACAACCTCCTAGTTGCCTGAACAAATTGATCTAGAACTTGAGGCTTATTATTTCCTGGAAGCTTTTGCGAAAGGGTTCTTCATTAGTACACTTGTCCCTCTAGATTTGGAAACAGCAGACTTTGCACTTCTAGACTCCTAGACTGCTCCTTCAGATCTGCTTGTCCCAGACTCTACCCAAAGATCTTCACCGAGGATTCCATTCAGAAGCTGAACTACAATGCCAACCTTTGTGGCCTCTTGCTGCCCGGTGCCCCCCTTGGCTGATGCCTTGTACGCGGACATTGGCGAATCTTCGGCCTCCGCGGCCAAGTGGGACCCCATGACGCGTGCAGCACCCAATCCGAAGGCAGACATCAGCAGAGCGGCCAAGGAGAAGGACATTGGAGCAGAGAAGTACACCCCAAAAAGCAGCTAGGTGGACATTTGCGCAGAAATCAGTAATACAATGTAACATAGTACGTAATATATATATATATATATACACATGGTTTTAGCATGTTTGAGGGCGGTTTCTTGGTTGGAATGTGGGCGGGTGGATGTGCCGAATGTCATGTTACTTTTGCTTCTATTTTTGGTGAGCAACTTACACAGCTCGGGTTTGAATGCCTAGGCATCCGACGGCACATTTGGACATGTGCTTGGTGTGAGTAGGGCTGGCTGTTTGGACAGTTGTGGTGGGTGTTTTGAGGGCAGTTATGTGTCGACGGCACCAGAGTCAAACTTATGAATCATGTTGGCATATTGCGATTCATTGTTTATTTATGAAACTTTAGTGGAACAATGAACATCAGTCTACGACGAGTCTACGAGCGAGTTATCATGTCAATGTACATAGCCAGCCCTAACGTGTTTTGACATGTTATGCATTGCCAACCATTCATACTGCAGTGAATCGTCCTTGACCAATACCTACAAGGATGACGCATCTAGGAGCAGGACTCACTAGCCGTCTAGAGCCGGGCAAATCGCGGCCAAGGTGAGATCCACAGCACCAAAAAAATGAACGAATCGCAGCAGAGTGCCTGCGACATGGTTTTGGAGCAACGAAGGTGGCGAATCGCTGTGCCATGTTTGTGGAGCTGTAGTTTGGGGTGGCAGGATGATGCAGGATGTAGTGAAGATGACCCAGAGATACCGACATCGGCCTCATCTCTGCCGTCCTTCGTACATACTTTTATATACTTCGTGGTGCTCCAAGACCTGGGGGTTTGAGTTTGGTGAGTATGAGAGGTTGTGTTGTGGACAGCTAGGGCTTGCCTGCTGAAACTCCTTCCCAGTTGTCGTTCCTCAGAGCATCTAGTCATTGTCGCTCTTTGGGCGCTTACCACTTGCAGTGTCCATCATAGTCCGCCTTCGGATTCTTCAGCTGTGTTTGACAGCAGGATGAGATCCAGCTGGATCTAGTAGATTGAAACCAGCCACTGCTTAAGTTCCTGCAGCATGGAGCCAGACGTCAGGGATTATCACGATAAATGCACACCTGTTTTTAAAGACAATATATACAGTATATATATATATATATATATGCATACATACTTCGCCCCTGGAGTTTCGAAACCACGGCACCAGCGCTTCTGCAGAGGCGCTTTAGCTTGATCCAGGGGCCACCTGGAACGGGAAAGACCACCACTGCCTCTGCCATCATTTGCGGCTGGCTGAAGAGCAATCGCGGCCCGGTGCTTGCCTCGGCTTTCTCCAACAAAGGATGCGACAACATTGCGCGCCTGGAAGCTGAATAATTCGGACGCGGTTGGTTCTTGAAATTTTGGGTGTGAAGGTGGATAGCAGGAAAGATCTATAGTCTATATACAGTAATTGGCAATTGCAGACTTTCAGAACATGTTAGCTGCATCAACCTCAAAACTCATGATGGCAGCTGGTTTGAGAATCCAAAGTTGCGGTCGTAGAATCATAGGTGGAACATGGTGGAACCTTGTGGAGTTCGGGAAGTTGCTCAGGGTTGCCTTGAGTATCAACCAGCCAAGGCAACAGTTGCACCACATGGGTGTCCGGGTGCTGCGCATGGGCCTGTGTTCGGCCAAGGAGCCTTACTCCTTGGAAGCTTGACTTGGGGATGGGTGGCCACAGGGATCTGAAATGCCTGGGCAGGCTGTGGGTGTAGCCTCTACTTTATTTGGAATTTGCCATCCAACCAGAAACAATGGAAAAGTCGACAACAGTCTGGGACAGAAATGGTGCATGTCTACATGTCAAGTTGTAATGATGTTGGTAGGGGTGGACTTTTGTTTGCTTAATACCATGACGGAGGCATGCGTTTTCTGCTCGAATCCTCTCACTCTATCCTTGTGTCGGCAAACAAATTGCCAAAAGAGAGCTTGACAGCTATACAAACTTACTAGGAAAGAGCTACATCATGTCCATCCCCGTGGAACCCTATTCATCACCAAAGTACGGGTCAGAAGTCCCATAGTAGGCGTGGTTGAAACGTGAAATAGTATATATACAAAGACAGGGGTGAAATGTACATATTTTTTGCTTGGCAGTTTGCCGTTGGAGAATGATTTGCACATTGGCAGAGGTCATCCCAAATCCTCGAATCGTTTTGAGTCTCATTTGCTGGTCTTGCCGCATAGCTGGGCGCTGATGTTTCGGTGCTGGCACAGCCTTCAAGGAAACGCGCTTGGAA